TATCTAAGAAAATTTTATTTGGCAACTAACCTTGTCATAAATAAATATTATTTTACTAATGCTAAATAATTGATTAGAAATTATTTACAAAAAAAATTCCAAAGAATTATGAATAAAGTTGTATTCAATATTTAGTTTGAGTGTATTTATATCTGTTAATTATTGAAGATTTTTATTTTTATCAATTTAAATATATTTTGCCAGGCTACCTTTAAATATGATTCGAAAATCTTGATTGGTGTGGTAGAAATCACTTTAGCTTCGGATCGTGACGGAAAAACAAACTTATAACTGTATACAATAACTTTAATTTTTAGTGCCCGTCTAAATAATATTTAAATAATAAACCCGCTTGAAATGTGTTGATTAATTACAATCGGTAAAATAATAGTTAAAAAACATGTCGAAATAGGTTTGTAAAATTGCAAACTTTTACACCATCCGCAGCTTATTAGGACCCTTGCCCGGTTAACTAATTTAGAAAAAAAGAAAAGTTGAGTGTAAAACCTTTTTTCCTGTAAAAAAAAAAGTTGTCTCTTTAACGTGTGTTAAACAAGCATATTTAACTAATTACCTAAGCACATTATTAACATAACAAGTATTTCTATCATAACGTATGCGCAACAAATTTCTCCTGGTGTTTTGATGTTTTTAGAAATTTTAAGATTTAAAAAAAATTCTCTCCCTTACGTTTGTTAAAGTTTGTTAAAATTTCAAAAAGTTTTGTTTTTGAGAGAAACTTCAAGTAAAGTATATAATATATGTAAAGTATATAATATATGTAAAGTATATAATATCTTTTTATGTTTATAATATCTATCCCTATCGGCACATCTAGTTTCTTTTTCGGAAATAAAACCTATATAGGCACGTGTTTTTCACGATCCAGGCGTAAACCAAAAGCACGTGTTTATTACGGGCAGTTTTACTAGAGTTTAACACGTGTTTTTTGAGGTTTTAAAGTCAAATTTAAATATTGCATGTTTTTATCAGTGGTTTCACATTCCTTACGGAAAGTTATTAAAATATAATACTACGTTTCCATAACGGCGAAACCATTAATACTTTAACTGGTATTTATGGTAAATAGTAATAGTTAATTTCACGGAATAAAAACCATTTAGGATACGTGTTATTCTTTTTGTTTTAGAAGGTTTTAAAAACGCAACAGAAACCAAGCGTAACTATTTTCTGAGTTGTGCCGGCTGGGATAGAACTTTAAAAATGTTTTATTTTGTATTTTTGAAAATCTTAAAAGATCTCAAATTTTGAGATTTTTTCAAATTTTCAATCCTGTGCTCTAAATAATTTTACTAGTACTGTTGATACACGAGGCTGCCTTCAAGAGATGAACTGCGCTTTGGTAAAAGACGAAGGTAATGTCCACTTTTACTGATTATGAAGTCATCCATTTTCAAATGTTGAGCCAGTTGGTCTAACGTTTTGATGCTTTTATATACATCACTATTTCGTTTTTCATGAAATGCTAATCCATGCATAGCAATGTTCACAATAGTTTTAAGTAGTAAAGGCTGATTTTGTTTGATTCTTGGCCTATCAGGCTTGCCTCCGACATTCAGAGTTATGCGTAGTTTTGGATTATCTTCAAACGAAGATTAGAGTTTTCTTTTCTCTTTCTTCTTTTCCTCTTTTATGATCCGCTATCTTTTTATTTAACTGCTAATCTAAATTGTATCTTTTTCTTTTTGTTTTTTTTCAATTCAGCATATAAAAAGCAATCTACATTCTTGTCGCTTGTACAAACCGACTAATCAGAACTCAGAATTTCAATATGTGTTTTTAATTGCAGTTGGGTTGGGGCAATTCTTGATGTTTCTGAGCGGGAAGTACTAGATCCAGGTTCTAATTCATCTGTAACAATATCGGTAACTTCTTCATTAAACTGCAAATTCGAAGTTGGAAGATTTTTCTTAAGCACATTTATGGTTGAGAGTTTATTAGTAGAAACATACGCGTCAAAAATGCGCTGGTATTTTTTTTTTTTTTTATCCATAATCATTTATGAAGTTCATTCTATGAAAAAATAATTAAGAAAAAATTTTTTAAATATGAGTCGAGAAATATGGAATACTTACGTTTAAATAACTACTCGTCCATAAATTACGCAACTCAGAATATTTAAAAAAAAAAACAGAAGTAGGAGATAATAAGCTCTTTTACGCGACGATTTTCATTAAACTTATTATTTATAGACTATTTTGGTTTCTTTTTTTAAATTAGGACTCTGCAAGGGAAAACTTTCGATCTTTTTTAATTATGTTTATTGTGAAAGTTTGCGTTACGTAATTTCTGCCGTAAATTGGCAAAAGGAAGCATGTTACATTATTACCATAATATGTGTTATGATGTTTTTCATGAGAGGAAGCATGTTGCTATTATAGCAACATGCTTCCTCTTATGAAAATATCTCTGTACTGTGCAGAGAATTTACTTTAAACTATAGCAACATTCATCTTCTCATGAAAAATATCATAACACATATTATGGTAATAGTGTAACATGCTTCATTTTGCCAGTTTACGGCAGATTTATGGACGATCCCTAAACATCTTAAGAAAACTTTAATAGAATATCAACGCACCAGTAGATATAATGAAAACGAGGATGCGTTTTTGATAGAACTTTGTAAGGTCCGAATAATAGAAGTACGTTTACAGTATCTAACAAAAACGCAACAAATACCTTAAGAAATTCTTTATAAATATATTTACTGCAGATGTAGATGAAGTCCACAAGAAATGGTACTATATTTTACATTTTTATTAAAGAAATAACTGATATTCTGAATATTAAATGCGAAAAAGTAGTATAACTTTTGGAAACATTATACAAAATGGATAATATGCAATAACTTTCTTAGTACATTATTCTAAGCAACAAAATCAGGTAACTATACATGGGTGAGGTTATATTCTAAACATTTAATACTGATAATATTGAATATATTTCTTAATTTCATTGAGAGAATGTGATATTCTAAGGTTCTAAGCAGCAAATATTTAATAAGTTATTTATTAAACAAATTACATAAAGGTAGGTACGCGGAAATCCGTGTTTTACGGAACCGAATTTTGTGCTAAAATTTTGCGGCAGATTTTTTGAACTTTTTTTTAGGTAACGTCAGGCGAACGTTTTTTTGTGGCGTTTCTGTTAAAAACATTACTAAACTTAGATTATTTTTGAAAAGAAGTATAGTTAAACTTGATTAATATGTAACATTTATGTGTGGTTAGTAATTTTTGTATTGCTTTTATTTGTATTAAAAACTTGGTTGTTGTTCTCACATTATATTATTGTCGAAAAAATGCTCATATAGTTTGCAAACCTATCCAGATAGTTTTTTACATATATTTTTTATCTACATACCAAATTTCATTGAAAAATACTATTGAGCAGATAGTCTATAAAAGTGAGCAGTTTTGGTACCTCATTTCTGTTTTTCTGATTTCCGTAAGTGGGTCGTAAGAGGGGTACGAACAAGTTGAATTTTATTAGGTTAGTTTATGTTATATGTATAATATATATAAATATATATATATATATATATTTTAAATAAAAAATATATATATATATATATATATATATATATATATATATATATATATATATATATATATATATATATATGTATATATATATATTTTTAAATAAAATAAACTAGTGAAAATATACAAACTAATATTAATTAATATAAAAATATAATAAATTACTGCAAAATATAAATATTTATATATATATATTGTATATATAATTAATATATATATATATATATATATATATATATATATATATATATATATATATATATATATATATATATATATATATATATATATATATATATATATATATATATATATATATATATATATATATATATATATATATATATATATATATATATATATATACAGCGCCGTGCTGTAACTTTTGGGGGCCCTGTGCAGAAACTAAAAAAATTTTTTTTCTTTCAATTCGTAGTAGTTTATGGTATTGGAGAAGTTTTTCTAATGTATTTAATAGGGGGCCCAATGCGATTGCACTTGTTGCACTTGTTGTACGGCGCTGCACTTGCGATGTTGCACGGCGATGTTGCACTTGCGATGTTGCACGGCGATGTTGCACTTGCGATGTTGCACGATGTTGCACGGCGCTGCACTTGCTGCGCTGCGGCGATTGCACTTGTTGTACGGCGCTGATATATATATATATATATATATATATATATATATATATATATATATATATATAAATATATATATATATATATATATATATATATATATATAAATATATAAATATATATATATATATATATATATATATATATATATAAATATATAAATATATATATATATATATATATATATATATATATATATATATATATATATATATATATATATATATATATATATATATATATATATATATATATATTAATACAATTAGATATAGACTGCCAATAAGATATTTTTCTCTTTTTCTTTTTTTTTCAGTAGTTTATTAGATTTTTTATATTAATTAATATTATTTTGTATATTTTTACTAGTTTATTTTATTTTAAAAGTGAAAATTACTATTTATTTTAGTGTGACTTGTTTATAGTTTCTAAAATTTTATTGATTTATTAAAATTGAAAACATAAGCGTTGATTACTATAATTCTAGTTATAGGTATGCATGGTATTTTAAAAACAGTTTTTCCTTTTTATGTAAACATTTGCAATGTATCTTTTTTAATTTTCTTTATATTATCACATGTTTTATGATGTCAGTATACATTGGCATTTTTGTCTGTGTGTATAAATAGTATTTTTTAATCACGTAATAATACAGTAATATCAGGGCCGTGGAGAGCTGGTACCGGGCCTGGGGTAATATCAAACTGACGGGCCCCCTCAGAGCTAAGGGCTTCAGACATATGAATAATACTACTTTTGATACAAATAATTTTTTAATTTGACTATATACAGTATTTTATTTACAAGTATATTTCAAATACAATACAGTGAAAAATTATATATAATTTAACTACAACAAAATTAAAATATATAAAACCTGTAAGTTAGATTAAAACTTTCCTCGCTTTCCTACTGGCAAAATCTGATCTTTTTTGCTAAATCACACTTCATCGCTAAAATTCCCAAGCCAGAAACTCTACCTTGCGTCATTGTTGATCTTAGATCATTTTTTATAAGCGCCAGTCTGCTAAAAGACCGTTCAGCTTGTGCTACCGTAACTGGTAATGTACAAAAAATTCTCAGGCCAATACAAATGTTGGGGAAAAGACATATAAGTTTCAGGTCGTTGATTTTATTGAGAAGAAGAAAGGGGTCCAAATCATTTTTGATGTTAACATCATGGATAAATTTCAAATGCAAAAGCTCATCAATCAGCTCCATGGAAACATCATCCTTGTATTTATTCACAAAATCCTTACACCTTCGGCGAATTTCTTCCTCTTCGTAATGATTATACTTCCAGAGAAAGTTAAAAGTTTCGTCAATTTCATATGCAGCTTCATATCGTCTACTGATATTCCCTATAATGCAGTCCAATAATATATAAAAAACGTTTTGTTTAAAATTATTTTCAGAATTTGATAGAGAAATTTCATCAGGTGTCTCATCAGCAAATCGCTTCCTAATTTTTCGTCTAGGTTCTGGAAGTTCTTGAGAAATGTTTAAGGTGTTTGCAACTAATTTACTCTCCACCATAATAGAATCCCATTTATCTCGAAGAGTTTTTAATTCATCAATTAGTCGTTTGATGTTGGTCACTTCTACATCCAATGTAGCATTCCGTGCTTGCAAAACAAGATTGGTGTAATTGATAGCAGTAAGTACTTTGAACCATATAGCGGACATCAGAATGCATTCAAACGATTCCATATATGAAATAATCCCATTTAGATCAGCACGATTTTCTATAGACAAATTTAGGTTCCTTATATCAGCTACTGATTTGATTATACCAGGAAGGTGGGTTGCGAATGGCTTAATGCAGTCCACTCTAGCTGACCAGCGCGTTTGGCACATGCTATGAAGAGACGAACCAATATATTTTTTTTAAAATTTCCCATCTTTGAGGACTGCTACTAAATATGTTATACAGTTTTTGCACTATCCCAAAGAAAGTTATCACTTGAGGACAACATTCAGCAGCGCATAAATTCAGACTATGACAAGCACAGGGAGAGTAAGTAGCAAGTGGATAATGTTGAAGAACTCGAGCTTGTGCTCCCTTGACTAAACCTTTCATATTACTCCCATTGTCGTACCCTTGTCCACGACAGCACATCAGTGGTATTTTATGTTTCTGAAGAGTAGAAGTAATTATATTTGCAATATCTTCATCAGTTTTTTTACTGCAATCTACAAATTCCAGAAATCTCTCTTTTACCTCATATTTTCCTGTCAATTTTGTCTTGTAAGACGTATCTTAAAATAAAAACATTTTGCTCAATATGAGCTGTATCAGGCGTTGCATCCACAAACATTGAAAAATATTTGCATTTCTCCCTCTCATCTAATATCACATCTGTGACTTTATCTGCACAGCACTGAATAAACTCATTCTGGATATCATTTGACAAATAATGTGCTTGCATTCGCTTATGGCTCTGTTGAGAAGCTTTTACTTTTTCGAGATGATCATGTAGAATGGAATCGTAATGACCAATGAGTTCCATAATTCCCAAAAAATTCCCATTTTTGGGGTCACCAATTAGATAACTATCGCCTCTAAATGCAAGACCTCTTTCACCCAAAAATAAGATAACATCTAATACTCTACGAAGTATTTGCCTCCACCTTTCCACTTCTGTCTTTATATTATCATTTAGTAGAAAATTGATAGTTGTATTATCTCTGAGATTTTCTTCTAATCGTCTCCATTCTACATAACACATCTTATGCCCACTGCTGGATTGATGATGAGGAACTTTTTCATAAAGTTTCTTCCATTTATTGTCCTTGGGCTTGGAATATCCTGTTGGCAGAGATAATGCCGATCGATGAGTTTCTGGCATTTTAGAGAAAAGTCGGTAGGGAAAACAGTAAAGTGCATTCTTCGTCTCACTCCACGTTAGCCAATCTCGTGGAATTTTTTCGCCATTTGGCATGGCAATGTGAAATAACGTGCGCGGAAATGATTTAGGCAATGCATCTTTTGGAAATTTTGTTGGGTGAGCAATGGGTCCATGATGAACAAATTTTTTTATTTGTTCAGCAGTGCAAAATAATTCCTTAATTAAACCAATATCATAGTTATTTAATGGAACTAGTTGGACATCATCTGCCTTGTCTTGTAATTCTTCTAGCCTTGCAGTTGATGTCTTTGGAAGAATATTTTCATTTTCGTCTATTACATTCTCTTTCACATCAGCACTCATAACTTTCCTATTTAACAATTCATCTTCCTCAATTGGCACTGGCTCTACTTTAACATTTGAGAGTTGTGACTTTATCTTGCACATCTGATCCTCAGAAACACCATCAATACGATTACAATTTATAAATCCAAAAGACTCAATCGTACTTTGACCCTTCTTGGCTGATTTTTCTCGAGCAATCTTTTCTTTTCTTTTTTGAGCACCAGATTTATGCTGGTAATGATCCATAGCTGCATGTAGTAGGCTGCCTATGCGAGGTCCTGTAACAATAGAACAAAAATTTATTAGTTAAGTTAATAAGTAAATTGACAAATTAAAATAAATGACAATTAATAATTGTTAAAAGTTAAAATAGAAGTTCAGTTTAATGTACAGTACAGTATATACTGTATAAATAAAATAGATATATGTATATAATATATATATATATAACTTTATATATTAAAATATATATATTAAAATATATATATATATATATATTTTATTTAAATGAAGAAAAACAACATTATAATAGTACTTAAAGTTTCGTGCCTTTCGGCAATCATCAGCTATTAATTACAAATTAAAAATTAACGTTTAAAAAACGAATCAAAAATTTACAGTAGAACGAGTTCTGACGTAATTTGAAAAGGCGCAATCATTTAATCTCCAGCATCAAACGAAAATAACAGGAATTTATTTAAATGTCGATATTTAGAAAATATTTCGTCTTTTTTATTAAGCAGGTTGTTTCCATTAAAAGATAAAATTTCTAACTTCTCATGAAGACAAAGTTTGCAGGTTTTATATATATATATATATATATATATATATATATATATATATATATATATATATATATATATATATATATATATATATATATATATATATATATATATATATATATATATAGGCCTATTATATATATTATATATTTATATTATATATATAGGCCTATTATATACATTATATTATATATTTATATTATATATATATATATATATATATATATATATATATATATATATATATATATATATATATATATATTATATATATATATATATATATATATATATATATATATATATATATATATATATATATATATATATATATATATATATATATATATATATATATATATAATATAAATATATATATATATATATTTATATTATATATATAAATATATATATATATATATATATATATATATATATATATATATATATATATATTTATATTATATATTATAAAAAATAAATATAGGGCTGGTGTCCTATATTTATTTTTTAAGTTTTAGAGGCTATTAGTCTCCGTTTTTACTCTCAAAAGCGTATTTTCATTAAATAAGTTAAATTATTAATAAAGAATAGATTTATCCTATCAATATTACATAGTAAATTTATTTATTTATCTAACTGATGAAGTGATGCAGACACAATGTTGCTTGATGGGGATTGGCTGATTACCTGGAGACTGGGACCTGATAGACTAAGAGACCGATGGTGATGGGCCCGGGCCCCTACGGGCCCGGGCCCGGGGAAAATACCCCCTCTGGCCCCCCCTCTCGTCGGGCCTGAGTATTATTAAAAATATTTTTAATAATAAAAGTATAATATTGTTTATAATTTAATGTTATATTATTATTCGGTAGTTATACAAGACTTTCTTTACATTTTTGTAAATAAAGTTGCTTTTTGTGCCCCGCTAATGAGCACAAAAAGCAACTTTATTTTTTGTTCGTAGTACAGTTAAAGAGTATTTAGATACACACTTCTTTTTACCTGCCAAAACTTGCAGTTGTTGTAAAAATAGACATGTACCTTTTTTATTTATTAGCAGTGTTAAGTCATTTGTTATAGCTATTGTTTAGTTTAAATATTTGTAAACCACAAATCTTTAGGGTTTTGAAAAGATGCAAAAGTTGGTTTTGCAACTTTACAAGGGATAGTAATCGTTTTAAGGAATTTTGTAATGAACCCTCTATATGCATTGCACAAATCTTGCCCGTCTTTCTATCATCATGTCCTACTCCAAGTAGTTCTCTTACTACTGTTTTAAGTAGTTTAGATAATTCACCACTTGAGCACATAAGTAATTTATCACCACTAAATCATAAGCCTTTACTTTCCAAACATTCTGTTAACAGTGAATTGGCATGAAAAGGTTTGAATACCAGATTGTCCTATTTAACTTCTCAGCTTGCTGTTACATTCAGCATGTATTGAAAAAAATTAGTAATAGTGACGGCAAAATTAAAAAGTATGGCATACAAGTTGAAAATACTGAGACAAAAAGTTACATAAAAGAAACAAATTGTTAAAGTTTTGAGAGCTGACTTAGAGATCTTAAACAAAAGTTGCAAACATATTATTACAGTAAGATAATACGCAATCTTAAAGCTTAAAAAAAGGCAATGAAAATTTCAGAACTTTTAAAGCTAAAATAAGTTAAAGTTGTACATAATAAAGATATTAAGGCAAATAAAATGCTGATAGCTAGTTACGAATATTTGCTTGCATATATGTAAAGTAGTTGATCATGTAGCTTTTATTTAGATTTTCATTTAGCATCTTTTAATGAAAGTGATTAATCGATCATTTCAAATATATCAAACGCAATGTCAGGCAAAGTTGCAATTAACCATCTTACCATAAACAAACTGTGTGACATATAAGGGGAAAGTTTGAATGAGCTAAACTGCCATTTACACGCTCTTGATATAATTGCTACCTCATGGCTGGGTATAATTGTATGGCATTTAAAATAGTTTTGGCTATAAACAAGTTGAGGTTTTATGGGAAAATTTTTTTGCAAAATTTACATGGCAAAAGTGATTTAGAAAGATTAGTTAGTTTTTAGTTGATCAAAAACTACCACGAGGTATCATTCCAAGGTATCAAGGAAATTGTCTTCACATTTTTTTTCATTTTTTTTTTTTTTTTATAAAACATTTAATAAGTTTGAGCATTTTTTAACCATTGGAACAGTAATATGCAGAACTATAGAAACAGTTCTTAGAGCAGTATTTTGTAACAAAACAGCTCTAAAGCAAAAGTGTGTGCTTGCATTATTTGGAAAACCACCTTCTCAAAGTCACATAAAACTTTGTCATCCAGAGGAGGCAAATTTTGGCCATTATAGTGGAATCCTGGTATTAAAAAATATTTTACTTAAAATTGCAGATTCTAAATCAAATCCAGGTTCACTTTTTAAAATGACCTTGAACCAAATATTTTAGATCCAATAAAAAATGTTTTGTTTGATTGATGAACACTTTATCAATATGACTTTTGCTTGTCTTATTGCAGTGGGAGACGTCATAACTCAACAATGTAAGAGGTATTTCTCACTTTCTGTTAACCAGACTCTCAAGGAGGAAGTAGCATGTGCAAGGCTTCACGATATAAATACTGAAGAGTTAATGGGAATGTTTAGTGAGGCTGAAGAAAGATCCCCTAATGTAACAATTTGTTATGTTTCATACAAATTAAAATACCTAGATAGTTTAGATCAATTATCTAGAGAAAATATAGTTACTATTTAAAAACTTTGGCATATAAAATTCGCCGAATGGTCATACACGAGCAGTGAACGCCTGTGGGAAGAAATGAAATACATTAGAATAAAGGAGAATTATTTATTAGACAAAACATATTTTGACAGTTGTCAAGACAAAAATAAAGATTAATAGAGGAATATTTAAAAATAAATAAGACTAATAAATAAGGAATATTTAAAAATAAATAATATAGTTATGTGGTCTATTCAGAAACCCATAAAAATATAGTTATGTGGTCTATTCAGAAACCCATAAAAATATAGTTATGTGGTCTATTCAGAAACCCATAAAAATATAGTTATGTGGTCTATTCAGAAACCCATAAAAATATAGTTATGTAGTCTATTCAGAAACCCATAAAAATATAGTTATGTGGTCTATTCAGAAACCCATAAAAATATAGTTATGTGGTCTATTCAGAAACACATAAAAATATAGTTATGTGGTCTATTCAGAAACCCATAAAAATATAGTTATGTGGTCTATTCAGAAACACATAAAAATATAGTTATGTGGTCTATTCAGAAACCCATTAAAAGAGGATGATAAATCAAATGAAGCATAATGATATATGAGCAGATATTTCAAAAAAACATGTATGCAAATGCCAAAAAATGGATGAAAAAGACAAAAAAAAGTTAAAACGACAGTTGCTTGAACTCTCTTACAATGAAATAAAGTATTTAAATACATCGTCTATCAAACAACTTCATGACTAAGATGATGTAATGTCAGATAGAATTGTTGGGCAAAAACTTTGCCATGAATGGTATAATAGTGAGTATTCGAAGTATGTCATGTATGATGGTAGAGAAGAAAAACTTGATAAAACAAAACAAGACAAAGTCTACACGATTTCTTACTGGAATAAAAGTAATACTGATACTGAAGCTGTTGACTACAACATGAAAAAATTTCAGCTTCCGCTGATGTTGGACCAGGAGAGTTGATTTTTTTTTTAAAGTGTAATATGTAACAAATTATGATATTACTTGTAATAAAGCTTTAAAAATAGATACTGCAAGTGATGAAACTTACAAAACAGATACGGCATATGGTATAAAGGTATTGCAAGTAATAAAACTTGAAGAAATAATCATATCAAGTCAGGTATGCCTGGTATTAAACCATATGTTTTTGTTTTACTTTTTTTTATTAATGTTTTTAGAGAAGAATAAAAGTATTTGACTTGGAATGACCTTTGCACAAGTGTTGTGACTTCCAAAATATTTTGGAAAATATCAACACTGATATTTTTGGTAATGAAATAAAATATATTTAATGAAATATCAAAAAATGAAATATACTAATTTATTTTGTTTGTTAAAGATACAATTATTTTTAAGAATACAACATCTTTTTATTGTAGGTTGTGGGTACCCATTGCCACCCTATTCAACAAACTTCTCAACTTAACCATAATTTACGAATAGCAGCAAAAAGACTTTTTTTTCAAAAGTAGGCTCGGTTGTGGTCTTTATCTTTAGCTTGTAGGTTATACTTGGTGCCAAAAGCCTAATTCAGGTTTTAAATT